TTTGAAGAAATGAACCAGGGAGCGTGTGAGCTTCCTCTTGGTACAACTCTGCAATAAGCCCTTGGTCACGAACATTCAGTAATTCAGAAAAAATAGCGACTGTTCCATTATCAAACAACGTAAATCGTGTGCTGGCCATGTTAGTAACCGAAGGGTTGACAGGTAGAACAGTTCAGCCGAGTCAAAAGCCCTACGCAAGTGCAGGAAAACCACACGCAAAGCGAGCTGTCCTCCGGGCAAATGTCGCCCGAAATGGACGAGAATATTGATGCCGATTTCGAGTCGTTTGCCAATCAGAATTCGGCAATCCGACCGGACAATTTAGATCTGTTGGACGAGTACAGTGGGCCGATAAGACCGCCGAGGGGCGTGCGAAAGAAATCGAGAAAAGAGGGCGAACGATTGCTGTCCGTGCCCAATGTAAAATCGCTGAGAAACGAGGGCCAGACGCTGAGAGATTTGAGGGATAAGGAGGACATGCTTACCAGTCCGCAGCCGTCGTTTACCGGGAACTTCATGAGGCGTTTCAGTAAGTCTTTAATTTGACGCTGTGGATTTGGGATTCTTAGAGGTTTTTGATTGGCTAATTGTTAGACTGGTGTTGGTTGGGATGTCCATCTTCAGCTTCATCAGTTTGCCCACATTGAGTCATTATAGCTTTTGTTGCCCGGAGTTCATTTCGGCGAAGTTTACATGTTTGATATGGAAAGTGCCGGCGTCAAGCCTTTGGCTGATGAGCTGCAGTTTCCATATCGAACTTTATGGTTTTGTACAGAATCCATTTCACTTGCCCTTACTGTTCCGGACTGACACCACAGCTTATCGGGTCCAAGAGTCGCACTAAGCAGACGCTTTTTGCATCTTTTAGAGCGAATCTTTGGCTTATTGATATCTATATGTTAGCGTTTTTAGATATACTGTTTTAATATTGATGCGTAGCTAGTGGGCAAGTGGGCAGGGTGGCCATTGTTAGCCAAAGAAGCTTGTTTTCAAGCCAGTCAAACTAGCGCAAGCAAAATCTCCTTTGGAGTATTTTTTTGAGCCCTGTGCGGGACGGATGGTCACCCTAGATGTACCCTAATATCGACTCCTTGAGCTGGTTGAATATTTTTGATTTGTAAACTTCTGTGAAAGAAGTTCGCGTTGATTTGTGCTTTTTATGTTCTGTTCGCTTTGGTTTGTTTGGTTTGTACCGTGAAATCAGGGACCAAATTAAGACACTGTAAGTATAAGCGCGTGTGAATCCTGTGAACTAATCCTCGTGTGTTTCCTAGAAGATTACAAAGGGTGCGTTTTGACTTTGCATGGGGTGGCTTTGGCGATCTTCCGGGGGCCCTTCAGTGCCGTGCAGCGCCCTCGTCAAGCCAGTCCGATGGGGTAAAAAGCTGCAAACTAGACCACTTAGTTCCATGTTAGAGCGCTTCTATTCCAACCACACGGCAGGGACACTTTTTGAAGCCGACTTGGGCGCGCGTTCCAAGCTAATTTAGGCCAATTCCACTGTAGATTTAGCTGGGCGCGTCGCGTTGTATATATTTGCGCCCCCTTAAGACGCTAACTTTTTGCGTATCGATACAGTTGCTCACTTTGGCTGTAACATACACGGAGTAGCGATCTGAGCCAGTTTTAATACCTACGGTGATCGCATGCACCAAACATGTTCAAGCCAGAAAAACCCCGTAGTTGCATCAGATATGAAGATCATGAACAGGGGCGGATCCAGTTTTAAATTCAGGGGGGGGTTATGTTGGAAAAAATACAGTCTTCTGTGGTTTATGAAATTAGGAAAATGATCGTCGTTTTGT